AATAAAACTGAATTCAGTTCGGCACTAATAAATCTAGCTCAAGAATTAACATCAACTCACTCCATATTGGCTCATCTATCATTAAAACTTCCTCTACCATTTCCAACCTTGGCGTCACATTTGATGCCAAGCTTTCCATGCAAAGTTACATTGGTAAACTCATAAAATCTGTTAACTTTCATCTACGTAATATAGCATTTATCAGAAAATACTTATCAAAACGAACTACGGCTCTGATTATTCATGCTTTCATTTTCTCCCGACTTGACTATTGATTCTCTCTTTTATTTAACATTCCTAAAATCCAAATTAACAGGCTTCAACGACTACAAAACTCTGCTGCACACATACTAACATTTACTAACACACGCACTCATATAACCCCCATTTTACGAGAACTTCATTGGTTGCAAATTGATGCCAGAATTCAATATAAAATCCTTTTACTGACTTATAAGCCACTGACTCTCAATCAACCCGCATACATTAATCAACTTCTTCCCAAATATGTTCCTGGCTGTTCCCTACGTTCATCTGATCTCAATTTAATTTCTGTCCCTCGCACCAACACTAAGACCTTCGGACACAGATCATTTTCATTTGCTGCAGCCACACTCTGGAACGCACTACCACTTCACATTAAAAAATCAACATCAATTGCTTTATTTAAAAAATCACTCAAAACGCACTTATTCCAACAATAACATGAAGTGCCACTGATAATTACTTCGGTTTTTTAAATGGGGCTATACAAGTTCTTACCTTATTATTATTATTATTGAAGCATAACTATTTTTACATAATGAAATTTAGTAAATCAAATTATTATTTGTGGCTTTTATTTATTAAAACAATTAAGAACATAATCTCAAAACAAAATTTAATGACAAGAAAGATCGACGTTTCGGGTCCATCATGGAACCATTCTCAAGATCAAGTAAATTGAAAAAACTAAAAACAAAAATACCAAGCAGTGACAGGAAGTAAGTAATTAATTTACATATCAATAGGGCCTACTGTGTGGAGCTAAGCAATAATTAGCCCTTCTTAGCAGATTAACTAGATAAACATTTTGGCTTTGACTGAATAGCCTGGTTCACGTCGAACTTTATCTAGATATACCCGTCTTGAAACATGATACGATAATCCCCTAATTGCGTTCGATGCCAAGTTAGAGCCAGATAAACAGCCAGCTGAGCCAGTTTCAGGCCGTCGACGTCACACGGTGGAAAGGCTTGTTTAATAAAACCTCTACTGTACTGTAATTTTACGAACCTCTAGTACCAAGTGGTATTAGTTCAAAAAAATTGTAAACTACTGTAGAGAAGGTGTGAGTTTCCACTACCTAACCTAGCTGACCAGTACGAACAACGACAGTGCAGCAGCGTGTTCTATCGCAATCTAAGTAGTAGATTCTCTAGGCCCTAGCTAAATTGACCTTCGATAAAAAATGAATTATTTTAATCGCTAGCTAGCATTCTTCCATTTAACAAAATATTGTTTTAATTTTCATTAAAACGTCTGCATACTTTATGGACATTTCTGTCCTGTTTTGTAGTTTTTAGATCGCTCAATTGTGTTATTTACATGCACTTCGCGAAAATCTAGCTTCGCGGTGTCAAATAAGTTTCTTTTTTATTTCGTCATCGTAAACGTGCGCTCATTTTAATTTAACGACTGGCGTTGGTGGTAGTTCGTTGAAACTGAATTAATAGCGACTATTATAGCAGAAATGGAAAAGATTGAATTGTCAATAAATAAATAAACAAATCTGATTTTATTATTAAGAAAAATATGCATTATCACTTTGAAAAACGTACGCAATCGGACTTTTTAACGTTATTACTTGGTCGATGATGCAAAGGTCATTGGTAATATCGACTATTCGTAAAACGGACGTTTGCTGGGTTCTTACCCATTACAAATAATTTCTGAAAACCAGACTAATGAGACTATCGATGCTATTGTTGGAGTACGTTGTTGCTAGCCAGAAGATGATAATGGTGGTACAATGCAACAACGCTGGCTTAGATGCCTATGTTACGTAATCGTGTTCTTGTAATCCGAGCCGACTTTACCGTTAAGCAAGTTAATTTACCGTTATTCTAGTAAAGTTAAGTCACTTAACTTAAGTGACTTAATTCCTTTATCTAGCTATAATTGAGTGGTTCACGTCGAACTTTTAACTAGTTAAGTGGATCTATATCTAGATAAAACGTGAACCAGGCTAATCAGTTTGTTTGTTAAGTGTAGGTTTCAGTTCTTTGATCCAAAGCATTTCTTTAATTAAGCAATCAAACTTGGATTTGCACTTAGATAAAACCTTGAAATAATTAACAGTTTCAGTAGCACTAATATAATGATCTTTTAAATGTTGTCCTATGTTACCTTAACTGTGCATAATCATTTCTTATTTAAAGTTATTGGAACCTCTTACACTCTGTGTTGGATATCTATATTCACTTAGGTATATATAAATCATGAGATATGGAAATCACACGGTTTATCATAATTTAAAAAAATCATGATTTATAGCGATTTTTCAACATTTAAGCCCCGCCCACCTCACAATGTTTAATAATGATCATGTGACACTATGACGTCAGACTTGTCCGGCTCCTAATTGTCTTGTCTCAACTTGTCTCCAATCGCAGTTTGTTTTGATTGTCGCGAAGTTCTACTTTGAAGTCAGACTCGTCTACCTACTATCGAATTACCGTCTACTTAATGGTGTTGTTATGCGTTGTGTTGCAATTGGGTGCAAAACGACCCACTTAGATGGGGTTAGTTTTCACCCGTTCCCTACTGAAACAACCCAGAGGAAGAAATGGATACAGGCTGTCGGTATTTCAAGGGCCGACTGGCAGCCCACCAAGCATTCGATGCTGTGCGGACGGCATTTTGAGGCAGAATGTTTTGAAATGAAGTCCAGCATAGGCAACTACTTGGGAGCCGTGGGGAAAATTAAAAAACGCCTAGTTAAGGGTGCAATTCCCACGGTTTTTGAAAAACCTAAATACCCAGGGTCGCTAGGAGAAAGACCACCAGTCAAGAAAAGAAAGTCCACAGCTTACGAAAAACGGGAACGAAACAGGGTAAGTAGAATAAAATACAAAAATAGCAGGAGGTTAGGCCAGACATAACGATATTTGGTTCGAGGTTTGGTAGGAAAATCCAGCTTTATTATTATTAAACCTGTTTCATTTTGCTTTATAACTTGTGCCGTCAACATTGTATAGATTTCAGTGCTCTGTGTAATTCGTGAATGAATATTATTAGCTAGCCTAGGCCTAGACCTGAGGCATCATAATCCGTGGCATAATTAATGTGTGCCTAATCTAGCTAGAGGCCTAGCCTAGGCCTAGTATATTTCCTATCAGGCCTAGGCCGTAGGCCTATGTCGTAACCGAAGGGCGAGTTCATTTTACCGGCGTTAGTTCTGTAGTAATTTAATGATCGTAATTATTTCATTATTATGTACACATTTACAACAGAAGTATAAAACCAACAAACAAAATATAAAAATTAAATAATGTAGTTTATTTTTTATTGTACACATGTACTTCCAATATAGTTTGCTTTGTCAGTTACATTGACAATAAGTCAGTATGTAATGACACAACCTAGTAGTATTTTCTGCGAGAAATGTAGCATAACTACATCATATAAAGAGTGCTTATGCTCCATGGTAATTTTTAAAAGCTTTGATGGAAATTTAAAATGTATTACAGTGTATCCTGAATGTAAATATATTTGCCTGGACAAAAATGTGCAGTAAAACTGGCATTGATGAGACAGAAATTATAAAGGTGGATACTTGAATCCAACATATTTTTTTGATTGAAATTTGCTGCGAATTTTGATAATGGCACATGCAGGTATTACAGTACGCTGATGTTTTCCTCTGTATTCCCATATCCAAATTTCTGTAACTTGTATGTCGATATTTTCTGTAAATAAAAAATATTTTAAACTTAAACTTTAAACATGCATTCCTTTTATTAATGTTTTTTAGTTTGTATATTTCGTTTTAACAGTATTTAATAAATAAATAAATATCTTACTCATTACAGTATTTAATAAATAAATAATTAGCTTACTCATGTGTGGTCCCTTCTCTCTTGCCTTTCTTTGGAATTTCGTCATAGGCCAGTTGTAATGCCCATATGTCAAGGCAGATAGATCTAAATCCAGGATGCTGTGTAATGCATTTCATATTTCCATCAACAATAGCTAGGGCATCTTCAACGAATTTATCTTTAATTTTCAAAATTTCCATACAGCATAAACACTCCTCAGTTGTTGGCATTACACTACATTTCTCACAGGAACACCTAAAATTTACAATAAATAATATGTTATTATTTTATTACTATAGTCTATAGTTTAAAAATAATATTAATAATTTACTCCTCGGGAGCAGACTGTTGGAGTTCGAAATGTTCGTACTTAATCAATTTTACTTATATTGTAAATTTTTACATTTATATTATAAATTTGCATGTGAATTTAAACACACTATTTTTTGTATGTTTTTAAAGCAAACACATAAAAGAATAATACTATTCTGTATTTGTTTGCAGTCTAATGAAGTTACTTCTAGCAGTGCAATGGAAAAGGAAGGGCTGGTAAGAAGCATTGCGTCCCTAAGAGAGAGTGGTGTTTCCATCAATACTCTGGTGACTGACCGCCACTCCCCAATACGGAAGTGGATGAAAGACAACCTTGCAGATGTTCACCACAAATATGATATTTGGCACATCAGCAAAAGTATGTAGAAATTATTTATTATTTCAAATTTGGCATTTTAAAAATGTATATAAGCATGTCTATAACAAACAAAAAAATGAATTGACATATAGACTAATCTAAACCATCATTTTATCTTACAAAAAGGCTTAAACAAGAAATTGAAGGCAGCTGCTAATCTTTCCAATTGCGCATCAATTAAGCCTTGGATACAAAGCATTACCAACCAAGATGTGTATAAGAGACAGGGTATGCAAATATTACCTAATGTAGCTGAAGCACAAACACAAACTACTGAAAGTGCATTAAGAAGTGAAGTTGATGTGACAGACATTTCTATTGATGATGATAGCGATGAGGGATTTGATGCAGATGACAAAATAAACGATCCTGATTACATTCCTGAGGATGATAGCGACACAGAAGATGAACTAGATGAATTTGATACAGGAGCGTAAGTTGACTTTTATTTTATATTTTTCCTGTATTATTATGTCATAATATTTTTAATAGATCTATTGTTTGATTTATGTTTACATTAATTCTTGTAATGTCCATCACAATTTTAACCTGTACTTTGTATTTTCACATTGTTGCGCAGCGTCTTTAAGCATAAATTTATAATGAAAAATGTTTATATAAAATATAATAATAAATTTATTACGCACCATTTTCCAAAGGGCCGTCATGTGACTTCATGTTTATTTTTTAATCTTAAACTTAGGAATGTTGAGGGAGAAGAAAGAAAATTCATAGTCTTTGAATCGGCTCTACTGGCAGCATTTGGTTCATGCCCAATATGTGGCCATTCTGCAGAAATGAAGATTTGTGCTGTTGTAGGCACATTCTGTAGACTACGGCAAGTGTGCAATGGCTGCAATTTCAAGAGGGAGTGGAACAGCCAGTCATTTGTTGGGTCAACTGCAGCAGGAAACATTATGTTTTCTGCTGCAGTGATTCTCTCTGGCTCTTCAATACAGAAGGTACTTCGACTGTTTAGTCATATTGGCATTTCAACTATCACAAGGCAGACTTTCTCTAAACACCAAAGGCTGCATGTTGTGCCCAGTATCATACAATTATGGGAAAAAGAAAGAAACCCAAGGTTGGAAGCCCTTGCTGCTGATGAAGAAGTAGTTTTAGGAAGGGATGGAAGGGCAGACTCACCTGGACACTCTGCCAAGTATGGTGCCTATACGATGATGAATTTGAAAACAGGCAAGATTGTCGATGTCCAGCTAGTACAGGTAAAACAGTTATTAAATATATTATATTTAAAGAAGAAACTTTTTAAGGGAGCATTTTCTGTTCACCTGCCTATTTATATACTTTATTACTCAATTTTACTTATATTGTAAATTTTTACATTTTATATTATAAATTTGCATGTGAATTTAAACACTATTTTTTGTATGTTTTTAAAGCAAACACATAAAAGAATAATACTATTACTGTATTTGTTTGCAGTCTAATGAAGTTACTTCTAGCAGCGCAATGGAAAAGGAAGGGCTGGTAAGAAGCATTGCGTCCCTAAGAGAGAGTGGTGTTTCCATCAATACTCTGGTGACTGACCACCACTCCCCAATACGGAAGTGGATGAAAGACAACCTTGCAGATGTTCACCACAAATATGATATTTGGCACATCAGCAAAAGTATGTAGAAATTATTTATTATTTCAAATTTGGCATTTTAAAAATGTATATAAGCATGTCTATAACAAACAAAAAAATGAATTGACATATAGACTAATCTAAACCATCATTTTATCTTACAAAAAGGCTTAAACAAGAAATTGAAGGCAGCTGCTAACCTTTCCATTTGCGCATCAATTAAGCCTTGGATACAAAGCATTACCAACCACTTGTACTGGTGTGCTATATCCACACCTGATGGGAATGCCGAATTAAAAGTTGCAAAATGGAAATCAATAGCAAGCCACATACAAAATATTCATTCTGGACATGACAACCTATTTCCGGAGTGCCTCCATGGTCCGCTGGTTGGCCGAGAACGAAAAAAGAAATGGATGGTGCCAGGTAAATACCTACAACTATATTATTATTACTAAGGCATATACTGTATTATTGTTTAATGTAACATTATTTGATCAATTTTATTTCAGGAAGCAAGGCCACTCAGGTCCTCTTGCCTATAATATTAAACCCCAGGCTGTGCCAAGATGTGAAAATTATGAGTGAAACATTTCAAACATCGAAATTAGAAGCATTCCACTCAACACTGAATCATTTCGCTCCAAAAATAAATCATTTTTCATATTGGGGTCAAAAGTGCAGGCAAGTTGATATTTTAATAATTGGTGTTTTACTGAATGACCTTGTATTTGTTGTTCTACATTGTTGATATTGTTTATTGAGTAATAAAATTTGTTTATATGTACTTATTATTATTACCACTACCACTGACACTAAATCAATAACGTTAAGAGGGTCGGAATGGCTAAGGATGAACAATGTAAAACAATGTCAATAATGACTCTGGAAAGGCTTAATCAACTATGTAACAACATGAATGTATTGTCGTGTATTTGTGTAAAACCTTATTTATCATACACATTTTCAGGACTCTGGTAGCAGCAATGCACTATAATGAAAATGGTGGACGTATCCAAGCCACAACGAATGATGGAGAGAAATGTTTTGGGGTAGCATTCCCTAAATTCAAAAAGGGGGGCTTTGTTGTGAAGCCTGTTTATGTTGAACAAACATTCCGTAAGTTATAATTACCCATATATTTATATATATATATATTTTTATTTTGGATAACACAGCAATAGTAATAATAATAATAATAATAATAATAATAATATTCTTGTAGAAATATATGCTATATAAATGTTAATGTTAAGTTATATTACTTAAATATTTATATAGTGCCAATCCCAAATTGAATGATCAAAGGTGCTGATATAACAGTACTATAAAAATTGATCCATGTATTATTTGATTAAGTGCTTTTTTTTAACTATTTTACATATGCAGAGTATGCAGATGCAGTAATAGCGCAAGTAATGGAAACATTAGCAGAAGGACAGGTACACCATTTAGAAGCACCTCCATCTGCTTTATGCTCCCACTTTGAACACCCAAACAAGCAAGAGGCTGTAGCACTTCATCGCTCACGTTTTGTTTGAGATGGTGTAGCATGTTGCAAATTATGTGTTCTCATGATATTTGTTCTGCAGCCCTTTTTTCACTAGTATAAATGTTGTTTTCTCTTCATCATTTCAATATTATGTTTACAACATTTACAACAGAAGTATAAAACCAGCAAACAAATATAAAATTTAAATAATGTAGTTTATTTTTTATTGTACACATGTATTTCCAATATAGTTTGCTTTGTCAGTTACATTGACAATAAGTCAGTATGTAATGACACAACCTTGTAGTATTTTCTGCGAGAAATGTAGCATAACTACATCATATAAAGAGTGCTTATGCTCCATTGGAATTTTTAAAAGCTTTGATGGAAATTTAAAATGTATTACAGTGTATCCTGAATGTAAATATATTTGCCTGGACAAAAATGTGCATTAAAACTGGCATTGATGAGACAGAAATTATAAAGGTGGATACTTGAATCCAACATATTTTTTTGATTGAAATTTGCTGCGAATTTTGATAATGGCACATGCAGGTATTACAGTACGCTGATGTTTTCCTCTGTATCCCCATATCCATTTTACAAAATTTCTGTAACTTGTATGTCGATATTTTCTGTAAATAAAAAATATTTTAAACTTAAACTTTAAACATGCATTCCTTTTATTAATGTTTTTTAGTTTGTATATTTCGTTTTTACAGTATTTAATAAATAAATAAATAGCATACTCATTACAGTATTTAATAAATAAATAAATAGCTTACTCATGTGTGGTCCCTTCTCTCTTGCCTTTCTTTGGAATTTCGTCATAGGCCAGTTGTAATGCCCATATGTCAAGGCAGATAGATCTAAATCCAGGATGCTGTGTAATGCAGTTCATATTTCCATCAACAATAGCTGGGGCATCTTCAACGAATTTATCTTTAATTTTCAAAATTTCCATACAGCATAAACACTCCTCAGTTGTTGGCATTACACTACATTTATCACAGGAACACCTAAAATTTACAATAAATAATATGTTATTATTTTATTACTATAGTCTATAGTTTAAAAATAATATTAATAATTTACTCCTCGGGAGCAGACTGTTGGAATTCGAAATGTTCGTACAGTAAGTACTGTAAACATGTAATGACAATGTAATGGAGTCTTTAAAAGATTGTATCTAGGAATATTTTTGGCAACGTAACATTATTAACGAATACAGTAATGTATAGGCTACATGACGATGCCAGGTAGTACAACAAATACTATATAGACCTGGACCCTGCTTCGGAGTCTAGGCCTAGGTAATAATATATAATTTAGGGGCCTAAATAATTATATATCTGTGTTAATAATATATCACATTTATTTAAACTAAAAATCGCCGATTGGCACCGTTATCTAGGCCTACGATGTCTCGTAATATTTAGGATAGGGCGGCCCTATAGAAAAGTACTGTATCATAATTATCTGACATCCTAGCCTAGAATGCCCAGATAAATAATACGTATGTAATAAGTAGGTAGGCCTAGGCCTAGTAGTAGACTAGAGGGGCAGATAGGGGCCTAGCCTAGGCCTGTAATAAAACACTGTTTGTAGCCAATAAATAGCTATGTTTTACTTACCAATCGGTATTAGTTCTTCTTGATTGATCTTTGTTGTTGTTCTCTCCTCCTGCCTCTTCTTCATTGCCGCTGCCATCATCATCAGTACAGTATGGTTCGAACTTATACGGCGTTATAGAAGCCATTGTTGACACTGAACAAAAATTGAGCGAATGATTTACCAGTTTCGCTCGTCGCGCCGAAAAAAAGGTTACAAAAACTTCACAGCGTGCGTGAGCGGTATTAGTACACCGTGGGACAATTCTGACGTCACGCTCAATCTTCGTTCGCGCACGAAACAAATTAAAGGGACAGGGCTAAGGTAATGTAATTATTGATTTTCAACAAATATTCAATAGCAGAATTCAATGAAATACTACATCCTCGCCAATTTAACATATAATTGAATATATAAATGATTAGTAGAATGTATGAGGTTCCAATAACTTTAAAATAGAATTATTTAATCAATCAGTAACTTGTGTTTTTTTTAATGAAATTAATTATTTTCTTTAAAAAGCTTTGGATCAAAGAACTGAAACCTACACTTAACAAACAAACTTAACAAGTTAATCTTCTAAGAAGGGCTAATTATTGCTTAGCTCCACTATGGCTCCACACAGTAGGCCCTATTGATATGTAAATTAATTACTTACTTCCTGTCGCTGCTTGGTATTTTTGTTTTTAGTTTTTTCAATTTACTTGATCTTGAGAATGGTTCCATGATGGACCCCGAAACGTCGATCTTTCTTGTCATTAAATTTTGTTTTGAAATTATATAGTAAGCGTCTCTTAATTCGATGTTATTATTATTATTATTATTATTATTATTATTATTATTAACAAGAATAATAAAAGTATCATGGTTGAAATCCTGACTAATGTATACAACTGTATGTTTACCTGTAACTTATGGATGTGAAATGCTACAGTATATTGACATGAATATTGACATAAAAAATTAAAAAAAAAAACTGTTAAAATGATAGGCTATATGTTATCTATATATATATATATATACGTATTTATGACATTATGATGAAATAAAAGTGGGATGATCAAAAAAAAAAAAGAATCATTGACAGGACCATCTTCTAAAACTCATTTGTCGTAAATATTTTATAAGTCTGATGGTGTTGCTGTTGTTGAATATTACATAACTTTATTATGAGAAATGTATAATTTTCATAGTTCTTCATAATCCTGTATGTTGAGTCTGTTTGATTTTGGCTTTTTCAGCATCTGAAGGAATACTTGAAGACTCAGGAGATAGTGATAGAGAACATGAAACACAAATTGTAAAACCAAAAATGAGTAAGTTGAAAAATTTCAGAGATGTGAGTAAATACTAGATGTTTTAGTTGCTTAATTTATGCATTGCATTGACTAAGTATTAGCAAGGAGGTAGCAGTTGTCTATTATAATATTACTATCTTGTAATAAATTACCATTCCTTGCCTTATTTTAACATATTTAATACATAGAACATTCTAGAATAACATTTAATTGATCAAATGAACAGTGTAAACCACATTGGAAACACAAGAGACCATGTGGGTGGTTCCAGAAGTTGAAGTACTGTTAAAGCAATTGCCTATTGGTGTAATGAAAATAAATGATCAGTGTATATTTCCCTTTCCATTGACACTAATCATGACCATGCTTTATGTGGTGCGTCAACCATCTTGAAATTCAAAATGGCAGCTGATGATGGGAGAAAAAATGTCACCTACCATTTTCAAATTCAGTGCACCAAAAATGATTAAAATTAGTCATTAAAATCTATTTTGGCACAAAAATCTAGCTGGATTACATAGCAAACTGTACTAGTAGCTTATATACTTATTCTTGTTTTGTACATTTTAAGTATATTTTGCGGTTACTTTTAAAACAAATAAACACCAGTTTTTGCATGTAGAGTGACAGTAGTTTTTATATGTCTAGGTTGTTGCCTGTCTAGAAATGATAAGTTTAGAAACTAAAATCGTATCTGCAGGCAGGGACGTAGCCAGGATTTTGAAAGGGGGGGAGCCGTTATGCGAATTACGTATGACCCCGGCGGGGTCAAGGGGGAGAATCCCCCTGTGAAGTAGCGCACACTGAACGTTCTTAGGACTGTTTGAGAGGATAAAGTGAAAATTGCAATAGACGCATTATAAATAAGCGAAAAAATAATTATATAATAAATGAACAGTGGCAGATCCAG